CCTTTGGGAGAAAAACCGTGCGCGAGGCATCGTAACCTGAGAAGTTTCATTCTGTGTGTTACTTTGCTGTTTTTACAGTATTTTAACCATTAGAGTAAGATCCAGATTTCCAGTTGTACCAATTAGTGTTTTAAAAGTGTGGTAAGTTTGTGTCCTATGAAATGTGTTTAATTTGCCCCTGTTCTAGTACCCCCATTGACTCCTCTGCTCTGCCCTTTGTTCCAGCCTGAAAATGGCTGGTTGGCCTCATTTCTGCTTCTGAGAGGGGGAAGGATAAGAAAATGTGGTTCTGCTTGAGGCTGGGGGAACCTCTATAGACAGATCCACTGTGGGGTCTTCCCTGACTTGTTCTGTAAGTTTGAATCACTTTGTTAGATTTAATTTGTAATGGAAACATGCTTTTTTTTTTTCTTTTGTTGGCTGTGAAGCATAGTTTTAATTTGGCTCTTTCTACTTACTGAGGTTTTGTTGCCTTTGCACAGCAGCCCTAGAGCTCATGAAGATGTTTCCTTATGCAAGGAACTAAAGCAAAGAAGTGTTCCAGTGCTGCTCTACTGCTGCTCAGGGATGTCCAATCTACAGGGTTAGTCCAAAGTAAAACCCCCTGAGACATCCTTTCTATGATAGATCCTCAGTGCCAAATACTCTGCTTTGTGCTCCGACTCCTATAGTCTGGCCCACAGAGCAGATCTAGGTATCACCCAAGGGCATTATAAAAGGTGCTGAGTTGTCTGTCCTGAAGGCAGAAATTAACCTTATAGACAACACTGGAAATGACAAGGAATGTTTTCCCTTGCTGCCGTGCTGTTTTTGAGTAGCCAGCTCACATAGTGGGGAGTGTTCATGCCTCTGCATTCCTGACTTTGGTACTAGGAATACAAACTGCCATCCCCAGCTGGCTTTGGAGCTGGCTTTGTGCTGCAAATGCTTGTCCACTGGGAACTAAAAGCCAGATGTGCTTCACATAGTTTCCAGGCAGCACTGATCCATCAGATGACAGTAGCTATTGAGCACTCTTATGGTGGCCCAGAGACACAAAGATGAAAGCCTGACGCCTGTCAACACCTCCCTTGCCATTCCTGTGTGTCTTCAGTTTTCACTTCAGTCCACCTCACAAAAGCAAATGCCACAGAATATGATGTTGCAATGTTAATAACCTTTTATTTTTGAGAAAGAAGATCTCAAGTTTTGTAATTTTGAACTGCCAGACAAATTTGGGATACATTGAGCTTTGTCAAATATTTTCCTGCATCAGCATGAGCTGGGTACCCACCTTCTTCTTTAGAAGCATCTTCTGCAGCATTTCCTGGATGATTTTTAGTATGAAAGATTAACAATATTTGAATGCCCTTTCAAGGAAATGTATTTACATGGAGGAGAAAAGCTGTGATGAACAGCCAAAAGGAAAAGCCTGTAGAGATACCTGGAATAATTTCTTAGAGTGGCTTATGTTGTTTCCCAGCTGCTCTGCCTTTAAATAGCCTCTTACCCCAACTCAGGAGCTCCACCAATTGTAAAAGCAAGAACTAACCAGTGCCAGATTCAAGTCTCAAAATACAAACCCTCTGAGATACAGGGAGTGAAGGGATGGGGGGCAGGTTCATAAGAAAACTTCTAAGCATTACTGTAGCATAAATAATATGGCATCTTTCACCTCAAATAGCCTAACACTTCATAAAGTGATATGAGCTTCACTAGTTGCTGAAACACAGCTATTTCTGAAGTGGAACCTGATCTCTTTCACTTTTTTTCTTTCTTTTTCTTTTTTTTTTTTTTTTTTTTTTTTTTTTTTTTTTTCTTTTAAGCTAGCAGACAGCAATGTTTTAAGGTGGAGAGTGAAGGATACAACCAATCATAAATATAAATCTAGGAAGGCTTTGCAAAATGCAAAGATCAAGAAAAATCTACTTTTATTAATAACATGCATCCTGGTGTCCCATAAACTTGTGTCCTGAATTTATAAATGTAGTTTGTCTGGAAGAGATGCAGGCAGCTCAAACAAGATTTTGTCCCCTTTATTTCAGCAATACTCTCTTACAGGCCTTTGATGGCAGATGCTCTGGTTCTTTTTCTCTCTTCATTCAGTTTCATGTCCAAGTCCCGGAGCTGGCTGAGGAACCCTGCATTGGGGCAGATGTTTCTGTGAGCACTCACTGTCTTCAGGGCATCCACAAGTGTCATGTTTTCATGGATCATTAAAAAGGCGAGCACTAAAGTTGCTGAGCGGCTCACTCCCATGGCACAATGAACAAACACCTTACCTGCATGAACAAAAAGGCACAGCAAGGTGAGTGTGCTTTACCATTTCTAAAGTGGAAAAGACAAAGGGAGGAGAAAAAAAATAGTAGAAACAAGTTAAGAAAGCAATGGTGATAATTAGTGGATCTTCATGCTTTCAGGAAGATCATCTCTCAGGCAAGGTGGTACTTCATACTAACCTCCTGCATCTAATTTAGGCCTAAGATTGAAATAGTTGAAATTTTCTGTGGAAGGAGAAGCTTTCTTCTGACTAAACTTGTTAGTATAGTTTTCTGTGGAAAAAATAAAAGTTTTGGCAGAAAAATTTGGCCCAGCCCTGCCTGTGATCACTGGCAAGTCCCACAAACTCCGTGGGATAGTCTGCCTGTAAAAATGGAGTTGTGTAATTTACTGTATCTCAGCAGCCCAGTGTGAGCTATAACTGAGGATTTAATAAAGCACTCCAGTGAAAGCAGCAGATCCTGAAGCCAGTCAGAGTCAGAGCAAACTCTGGAACAAATGGAAATTATGATAACTAGGCCATAATCCAAACTCTGCTGACAAAAATTCAGCAGGCTGCAGGTCAGGCTCGTAGTTTTTTACTTAGTTCATTAACTTCTGCTGCTTCTCTAGTTTAATAGACAAGCTGAATAAAGCTGCAATTCTGTAAAATACTTGAGCATGTGAAGCATTTGAGCCAGCACTGAAGTGCCGCTGCTCCCACAAGAAGCAGGAGCAGTATGCAGGGCAGGATCCCCAGCTGGAGCCCCTGTCAGTGTGCGAGGGGTGGGAGGGATGTGTGGAAGCACATAGATCCCACTGATCTCTACAGGATGGGCCCATGGGGCAGCATCTGCACTGCCATAGCCTCTGCCTTTCCCTCTATACTCAGGTCCCAGAGCTTGCCCTTCTTTTCCCCATGCTGGGCTGGGGGCAGCCAGTCTTCCACAACTGCTGGGGACATGGCATAGGCACCCTTCTCCATCCTCTGCTCAGTGGTTCTGTATGTGCTGCCTTGAACCATATGCTGATTCTAAGCTCTGTTGGTGCCTGTTACTGCAATGAAAAGTCATTTGGCTTGTGTTGAAATTTCCTCTCAAAGCTTATCTTTGCTTCTCTCTTACCTCCTGAAGAGTTTAAGGCCTTGCCTATGAAATTGGCAGCATCGTAGAAGAAGATACTTAAATCGAAGGAAGGATCATCAAATGCTTCTACTCCATAGTATTCTATTTGCAGATCTGCATAATATTTGGCTCCCGTGTTGATGCTATATGGTCCATCTGCTGCATTAAGGATATGAGTAATGTTGAGGCTTTGAAGTGTAGTTTTGCTCCTAGCAGCCCACCTGTTGAAAGACATGAAGGGCACATTGGCAATGCTCCTAACATTATGCAAAAATAGCATGGTTTAAAGTTAGTGCCTGCTCCCACTACGGAAGGATACAGGAACTGCATCTTACAGAGGAGCAAATTTCAAGAAACACATAGTGCTTTGCACATAAAAAATGTGATATGGAGGTGTGGAGAGCAGCAGGAGCACAGACTTGCCAGTGGGGTATTGTCAGTTAAGCAAATGCCTCCCAACAGATAAGCCCTGGGAACATGGCTTACTGTATGAAGTGGTCAAGATTTTCCTTAAATATTTGTTTAGGAAATTTTAGAGCTAATCTCTCATTGGTAGTGTACCTCTTCTCAAGAGTGAGAACTCGCACAGATGCAGTGACACCTTGTTCCTGGTTAGGACATGAAGTAGATGCATTGTGTTCACCAGCTAGGTGACCCCCGCTTCCCACCATAAACTAGGACTATAGGCATTCTACAAAATTCTGAACCTTAACTGATATATTCATGAGGAGGAGGAGCTGGGCAAAATTAGCTAATGATTTAGGTAGTCTGCAGTAATCCAACTGGAAAGAAATAGCAATAAATATTATTGGTCACAAGAATAAGGTATTTACATGAAAATTCATGTTTGATATTTTCAGTTTTATCATCTTTGAAAGAAAGCTTGGATTTGGAATATCAAGATCACTATTGTACAATTCATTTGAGTCTTCCTCCTTCTGGGTTTTAATCTTGCTACCCCTATTTGAGTGTTAGGGCTACAAGCCTCTTTTCTACTGAATTAGAGCACAGTTTTGAGGCTACATAATGCATATCAGAATAGACATCAATTTGGCATAGGTTCTTTGAGGACTTCAGTCTAGAATACAAATAATTTCTACCCTGCTAAATCTATGGTGGCTCAAAGAATATAAAAAACCAAGTCAGACACGCTACAGGTAAGTCACTATTTTGCAATGTCATGTGTTTCTTGATATCCAAGCTCTTTACATCATCACTTTTGGAAGCCTGTATCACAAAAACATTCCTGAAGACCCAAAAGCTACTCCTCAGTAGTACCACACCCCTTCCTCCTCTTCCTCCTCCCAGGGACTGATAACAGCTTAACAATAGGACCATATGTTCTTACGCATCTCCTAGGTAGATATTTGGCCAGACTTGGTCCACGTGATTATCAGAGCTGCCTCTGAGCCACAGGAGCTGCTGGAGATCTGATAGTGCCGGTGTTTCGTAGGAAGTGCTGCTAGTCAGAGATGAAGAGTCTCTGGTGTGAGGCATCTTGCTGCTCCTTTGCATGTACTCAGGCTGTATCAGAGACAGTTGTTCTGAAATAAATTGAAAGGAAATTTTCATACAGAAGTACTATTCCCTAGAAAGTAGATCTGTTCATTACCCTCCAAATAGGATTACATTATTAGAACTAGTGTGTGCAGCAGGGCCTGCCAGTGTTGCTAAAAGCATCTAGAGAGCAGGACTGACTCAGGGGTCAGACTCTACAGAATGTAACTTCTCCCCTGAGAAAGCAGCATAAGATAATGTGATTTAATTTCTTGTCAAGTAACACTGTTGGTGAAGAACATCTGCATCACCTGAATGCAGACTGGATGAACCTTGTAGGTACAGGTAACATTTCTCTTTTTGTTGAAGTGCTACCAGAGTATTTGTGTACACTTGACACTGATTAGTTAAAACCAGAAGTTTTTGAATGAATCACTAAATTGAATTATACTTACAAAGTTTCTAGGGCCAAGGTGAAAATCTTAGGGATATGTATGTGAGCGCCATCTGTATGGTGTATGTGTACACACATATAAACACTGTGTACTTACAATTTTATTTCATTTATAGTGATGTATTTAAACACACATACATACATGTATACATAGGAAATTATTTTCACATGCATCTATAAACATATATATTGTATATGTCTGTATGTATAGAAAGAGAAATCGGGAGGATTTGAACTAGTTTTTTTTCTCTCAGTTGAATATCCCTGGACACTTAGCTATACTGGTATTCTTGCGCCTGTCTGTCTCAATCTCTCCTCTGGGAGCTGTTCCACTTTGTATAAATAATGTGATAGCTACTTCACTCCAGAGAGGGGCCATTTCTCTTGTCTGAGGGACAGAATACTTACCCAGGATGTGTGAAAAAAGAGTATTTTTGAAATTATACAGCTAAAAGTTCTGGCATTGTTGTCCTGTTGAGAATCTCATCTAGTGCTCTCTCACAGGTCTCTGAGATCACAGACCCGTGAGCCATCAAAAATCATGCCATGGAATATGGGCAACCCTTTTGCAACGCTGTTTGCTGGTTTAAACCCAGCAAGCCCAGGTCAGATGGTTCAGCTGGAAGCAAAGCTCAGTCAAGAGCAAGATATCCAAGCATTCCCTACTCTAAGACTTTAGGAACATTTCTCCTGCCTGGATTGCATTATCCTGAATTGCTGTTCTTGCCCCCTGAAGATATTCATGAGCTTTGTTTGCTTGCTTGTTCTTACTAGAGTAATAATCACTGTGGAAGGTACACTAGAACTCTTCCCAAAGCAGGGTAAATGGTGTTTATTCTGATATGGCATCAGCTTCCACTGTAATGCCTGAATGCCTAAAGCTAAGTTTGGGTTTATTTTCTCAACAATTTTAGAAAACAAGCACAGATGGGACCTTCAGAAGTCATCTGGTCTGTCCTCTGCCCCACAGCAGCAGCAGCCATATGGATGTTACTACTAAAACAACAACTTTGTCCATATACATTATTTTTAACAGTGTAAGCTGTTTTGGGGAATAAGCAGAAAACAATGGAGAATATATTTTTGCTTGCAGAAAAGAAGTGGAGTTGATGTGAGGCATATTACTGAACGTACACATATATTTCTAGGACCTCAGTCTAAATTTGCTTCCTTTTCCCCTTCCTCCCTCCTCCTCCCCACAAATGTTACGTGCAGTTTTAGCTTTTTGTATGTTCCAATAAGAAAGAGGTCTCCCTAGGGTAACTACTTAATAAGCAAGATATGAAAAGCACAATAAAAATGATGGGAGATATAGAAAAAAGAAGACTGGTTTTACTTTTAGTGATAGAGGAAAAGAACTGCAGGGAAGTAGAGAGAAATATAGAGATAAAAGCCTATGATTTTTTCAGGGCAGATAATATAAGATCAAGAGCTTTGGTAAAGGAGTATGTTGTGCAATCCTAGCCCAGATTAGCATGAAGAATAGCACAGAAAAAGATACTGTGCACTGCCCAACAAGTTTTACTGCCTTGTGAAAGTCATGCACTGTGCTCAAGAGCTACTGCCAGCATCTTCATTATGACCTGCTTGTACTTTCACCGACACAGAACGTTAAGCTGAAGCAGTTAAAGAAAATCAAGACTAAGATAATACAACTTCTACATCAGGAGATTCATAGGACCATAGGCTCATTATCAAGGAGTGTGGCTGACACTGAGTTGCTTCAGATGCTTAAGGGCTGAAGTTGTGGAGCAGATGGATACCAAACTTTCACTTCTCCTAGACCCTGCTGCTTTAAACCTCTATTGTAGTCTCTCAGTTAGCTAGAGTAATGGAGATGATGACCAAAGAGAATTAGATTTTGTGGCCATTTGTTCAAGACCTGACTTTGAAGAGGTTCTCCCAAAACTGAGCAATTTTGGTGCCAGTGACACTTCACAGGTGACTCTGACCTCTGCAGCCAGGGAAATGCTTTGCAACAGAGCTCCCTTTCATAGAGCAATCCTCTTTCCAAAAGGTGTGCCAACATTGTTTTATTCACATGCATAATGTCAGACAAGTGAGCTCCTTGTGTCAACACAAGCACAGCTCCTCCCAAGAACACTGCTCCCACCTGCGCTGCACTGCCTTGAAATTGGGCTGTTCTGCAGGGCCTTCAGGGTAAGCCTGGAAATAGCTATCGCAGATGATTGGACTAATGAGGAAAGCAATATGAATTTTTTAATTGAAGGCCAGGGACTTTGGTGAAGGTTTCCCCCCACCTTCTACTTTAAGATACTGCAGAGGTAGCAAAAGTGCTGCCACTGATTACATTTCTCTGAGCTTCTCCTTCTGGGTGGCTCCCAGAAGCTGCTCTAGGTGGAAACAGTCAGTGACAGCAGGAGGGCAGGAATCCCTGTACCTGAGGGAAAAATTTCTGTCTTACAAGGTCACTAACATTTTATGCAGAGATCTAAATCATGAAAGTTGGATAGGATTACTTTTCTTTTAAACTGTAGCTATCTCATTAGCTTCTTTCTTTCTTTCTTTCTTTCTTTCTTTCTTTCTTTCTTTCTTTCTTTCTTTCTTTCTTTCTTTCTTTCTTTCTTTTCTTTCTTTTCTTTCTTTCTCTTTCTTTCTCTTTCTTTCTTTCTTCTTTCATTTTTTTTCTGTTTAAAAGTCAAACAACAGAAGCAAAAAAATTCAATCCTTGGGAGACTTTTGAGACTGGACAGAGATTTTAATGGTGATCCACAAAATACAAGGTAGCACACAAGCTTTAAAACTGCCTTGTCATTTTGCATCATTTCCCAACCACCTGTAGTACTGGGGTACAGCCCAAATAGCCAGGGCCAGCTTGGATCCCTGTCTGGCCTGTGGAGCCTGGGCTTTCCCAGTGGTTCAGGAGTTGCTCTGGAGGTGCAGGCTGGAGGTAGCCGTGGGTGGCATTGCCTGGCTGCACGGAGCCCCCAGGAAGGGCTGTGGGTGACTCCATGCTGTTTGCATGCAGCTGGGTGCAGCTCCTGAGGGACTCAGTCATGCCAGAACCTTGTCTACAACAACCTAGTGGAGCTTTGTATCTCCCTGTATCGTCCAGCCACTTGAATACTACATCTGCAAAGGTTTTGGTTTGGTTTTTGGTTTGTTGGTTTGGTGTTTTGTTTTTTTTTTTCTTTCCTTTCTCTATGGTGGAAACGATTGCCATTTTCTGTTGAACATGTCTAGCAAAAAAAACCAAACAAACAAAAAAAAAGAAAATAAAAAGCCCACACAACCCCCTCCCCAGTGACTTCAATTGACTAAAGCATTTAATAGATTTGTATTGCATTTGCAGATTCTAGTGCAAAAAAAATCAGCAAAGCTTTGGGGGTAAAAACACAAACACCCCAATATTGTAGCTATTAAATAGTTAATTTTGTTATTTCAAAAAAAAATTACCATTTCCATTTTTTTTTTCAGTTACCCTTTGTTTTGGAATTTGTTCTCCTGCATTAGATAAAATATTTTAAACATTAAAACAAGATGAAATGGCTTGCTCTTGGTTGAGAAAAATATGTTTTATTTCACTAACAGTGAACACAGACTGAATAGCCACCTATTTGCCTAGTCCAAATTGTCACTTCTGTAACAGGGCCTCCTGCCATTTTGCCATGGTTGTTCCCTTGTCTCCACAAGAGGGAACTGAGCTGTAGAGAGATTAAATGAATGTCTGGAGTCCCAAGAGGATTCTGACAGGACATTAGTTGGACCCAAATCATCTTTCCTCCTTCCCTTTTGCTAGAACCTTCCTGGTTGGCACAGCTCTACCTGTGGTTATGCTGATAGCCCAGATGGGGACAGGTGTCTTTCAGTAACAAGTCCTTACATGAGATTATTGAGAGCCTCAGGCACAGCAGGGCCTGTGGATACTACAATAGCACAAATGCTACCTAACAATAACATGATACAGAAAACTCCTGCAGCCAAATATCCTAAATTCCCTGTATCAAAAACCTGACAAACTAGATGTTTCAAAATTCCAAAGCATGGGGTCAGAATATAATTCATGTGGAAGGGAAAAAAAATTTAAAACAGCCTCTTGATGCATTTGAAAATGCTGTCTACTCTGTTGTTTCTTCTCTTTTCTCTCAGCAAGCATCTCTGCACTCATCTTTTACACTCCTTGCTCTTTTCTCCCAGGTAGTGTGTAACAGTATGACTCTTTGTCCTCCTGATGGAAAATTCCAGATGGAAAGAAGTGTGTTTCACAAGGAAATGATCATGTTAGTGGAATTAATCTTTTAAATACTGTAATGTGAAATATGATCTTCCTTTTTGTTAAGAGGACCCAGTCTGTGTCTCTACACTTTGGTCACAATCTGATGCTAAGAGAACCCAGGAGTCTCTTGAGGTAGAGCTGAAAGCTTCGTGTGCAGAAACAGGCACATTTAAAAGCAACAGCAAAGTTAAAACAGCCAGATGGGAACCTAGCAGGCAACCGAGAGGGAAACTCTCTGTTTTCCTTGCAAGCCTACAGGGGCTTGTTTGCAGGAATTAGAATCTCTCACCAGCAGTTCACTGCAGCTCTAATACCAAGTGGTATTGAAAATGAGAAGCAGGTTATGGCTGATGGTT